CCACACCACCCACCACCCACACCACCCACCACCCACCCACCACACCCACCACCCACCACCACACACCACCCACTCCACACCACCCACCCACCCACCCACCACACCTCCACCCACCACCCACACACCACCCCACACCCACCCACCCACCTCCCACCCACCACCACCCACACCCCCACACCACACCCACACCCACCACACCACTCACCCCACCCTCCACACCCCACCACCCACCACTCACACCACACCCACACCACACCCACCACCACCCACCCACCCACCACACCACCACCCACCCTCACCCACACCCACCACACTCACCCACCACCACCACCCACACCACCTCACCCACCCACCACTCACCACTCCCACCACCCCACCACCTCACCCACCTCACACCCACCCTCACCCACACCACACACCCACTCCCACCTCACCTACACTCACTCACCTCCCTCACCTCACTCACACCACCATCACATCCTCACTCACACACTCACTCACTCACTCACTCTATCATCACTCCCCATCTCACCTCACTCACACCCACACCACCACTCACAATCACCTCACCCTCACCACCCTCACTACCCATCACCTACACCACTCCCTCACCCTCACCTCACACCTCCACTCACCTCACTTCATCTCACTCACCTCACCACTCACTCACCTCACCCCCACACTCACTCACCCAACACACCCTCACACCACACAACAACAACAATTATCTCACCCCTCTACACTCAAAATTCCTACTACACTAATCATACAAATCTTAATATCTATATATTACATCTATAATTATATATACTATTGCTCAACTACATTATCATCTATCATATCTATCTATCTTATCTATCTTATCTATCTATCTATCTATCTATCTATCTTATCTATCTATCTATCTATCTATCTTATCTATCTTATCTATCTATCTATCTATCTATCTATCTCTATCTATCTTATCTATCTTATCTATCTATCTATCTATCTTATCTATCTTATCTATCTATCTATCTTATCTATCTTATCTATCTATCTATCTATCTATCTATCTATCTATCTTATCTATCTTATCTATCTATCTATCTATCTATCTATCTATCTATCTATCTATCTTATCTATCTTATCTATCTATCTATCTTATCTATCTTATCTATCTATCTATCTATCTTATCTATCTATCTATCTATCTATCTTATCTATCTATCTATCTATCTATCTTATCTATCTTATCTATCTTATCTATCTTATCTATCTATCTATATCTATCTATCTATCTTATCTATCTATCTATCTATCTTATCTATCTATCTATCTTATCTATCTATCTATCTATCTTATCTATCTATCTATCTTATCTATCTTATCTATCTATCTATCTATCTATCTATCTTATCTATCTTATCTATCTATCTATCTTATCTATCTTATCTATCTATCTATCTTATCTATCTATCTATCTTATCTATCTTATCTATCTATCTATCTATCTATCTATCTTATCTATCTTATCTATCATCTATCTTATCTATCTTATCTATCTATCTTATCTATCTATCTATCTATCTTATCTATCTATCTATCTATCTATCTATCTTATCTATCTATCTTATCTATCTTATCTATCTATCTATCTTATCTATCTTATCTATCTCTATCTATCTATCTTATCTATCTATCTATCTTATCTATCTATCTATCTATCTATCTATCTATCTATCTATCTTATCTATCTATCTATCTTATCTATCTTATCTATCTATCTATCTATCTATCTATCTATCTATCTTATCTATCTTATCTATCTATCTATCTATCTTATCTATCTTATCTATCTATCTATCTTATCTATCTTATCTATCTATCTATCTATCTTATCTATCTATCTTATCTATCTATCTTATCTATCTATCTATCTATCTATCTTATCTATCTATCTATCTTATCTATCTTATCTATCTATCTATCTATCTATCTTATCTATCTATCTATCTATCTATCTATCTATCTATCTATCTTATCTATCTATCTATCTATCTATCTATCTATCTATCTATCTATCTATCTTATCTATCTATCTATCTTATCTATCTTATCTATCTATCTATCTTATCTATCTTATCTATCTATCTATCTTATCTATCTTATCTATCTATCTATCTATCTATCTATCTTATCTATCTATCTATCTATCTATCTATCTATCTATCTATCTATCTATCTATCTATCTATCTATCTATCTATCTCTATCTATCTATCTATCTATCTATCTATCTATCTTATCTATCTATCTATCTATCTATCTATCTATCTATCTATCTATCTATCTATCTATCTTATCTATCTATCTTATCTATCTTATCTATCTATCTATCTATCTATCTATCTATCTTATCTATCTATCTATCTATCTTATCTATCTATCTATCTATCTTATCTATCTTATCTATCTATCTATCTTATCTATCTATCTATCTATCTATCTTATCTATCTATCTATCTATCTATCTATCTATCTTATCTATCTATCTATCTTATCTATCTTATCTATCTATCTATCTATCTATCTTATCTATCTATCTATCTATCTATCTTATCTATCTTATCTATCTTATCTATCTATCTATCTATCTATCTATCTATCTATCTATCTATCTTATCTATCTATCTATCTATCTATCTATCTATCTATCTTATCTATCTATCTATCTTATCTATCTTATCTATCTATCTATCTTATCTATCTTATCTATCTATCTATCTTATCTATCTTATCTATCTTATCTATCTATCTATCTATCTATCTATCTATCTATCTATCTTATCTATCTATCTATCTATCTATCTTATCTATCTTATCTATCTATCTATCTTATCTATCTATCTATCTATCTTATCTATCTATCTATCTATCTATCTATCTTATCTATCTTATCTTATCTATCTATCTTATCTATCTTATCTATCTTATCTATCTATCTTATCTATCTTATCTATCTATCTATCTATCTATCTATCTTATCTATCTATCTATCTATCTTATCTATCTATCTATCTATCTATCTATCTTATCTATCTATCTATCTATCTTATCTATCTATCTATCTATCTTATCTATCTTATCTATCTATCTTATCTATCTTATCTATCTTATCTATCTATCTATCTTATCTATCTATCTATCTATCTATCTTATCTATCTATCTATCTTATCTATCTGATCTGATCGGATCTTATCGATCTTGATCTAATCTAGTCTATCTTAGCTATTCTATCGATTCTTAGCTATCGATCTGATCTATCTATCGATCTTTTCTATCTATCTATCTTATCTATCTGATCTATCTATCTTATCTATCTTATCTATCTAGCGATCTATCTTATCGATCTTAGCGAGCTATCTTTCTATCTATCTTATCTATCTATCGATCTATCTATCTTAGTCTATCTATCTTATCTATCTGTCGATCTATCTCTCTATCTATCGTAGCTATCTATCTTATCTCTCTATCGATCTATCTTATCTTATCTGCTATCGTATCGTATCTATCTATCTTAACGATCTTATCTTATCTAGCTTAGCGTAGTCTATCTATCGTATCTATCATCTTATCTATCTATCTTATCGATCTATCTATCTATCTTGATCTTATCTATGCTGTTGTATCGATCTATCAAGTCTATCCTGGAATCTTAGCGATCTATCTTATTGCCGTATCGTATCTATTCTTATCTATCTTATCTATCTATCAGTATCTTATCTATCTATCTTTATCTATCTTATCTATCTATCTATCTATCTTATCTATCTATCTATCATCATCGTATCTATCTATCTTATCTATCTGATCTATCTTATCTTATCTATCTTATCTTATCTATCGATCTTATCTATCTTATCTATCTTATCCATCTTATCTATCTTATCTATCTCTATCTATCTATATCTATCTATCTATCTTATCTGTTATCTATCTATCTATCTTATCGATCTTAGCTTATCGGATCTATCTATCTTATCTATCTATCTTATCTATCGGATCTATCTATGCTTATCTAGCTATCTTATCTATCTATCTTATCTATCTTATCTATCTATCGATCTATATCTATCTTATCTATCTTATCTATCTATCTATCTATCTTATCTATCTTATCTATCTATCTATCTATCTATCTTATCTATCTTATCTATCTATCTATCTATCTTATCTATCTTATCTATCTATCTATCTATCTATCTTATCTATCGTATCTATCGTATCTATCTTATCTATCATATCTATCTATCTTATTCGAAGCTATCTATCTTTTATCTATCTGTATCTTATCTATCTATCTATCTATCTTAGCTATCTATTATCTTATCTAATCTGATCTATCTTATCTATGCTATCTTATCTATCTTATCTATCTATCTATCTGGATCTTATCTATCTATCGATTATCGATCTATCTTATCTATCTATCTATCTAGCTAGTCTCGTATCTATCTTATCTATCTATCTTATCTATCATATCTATCTATCTATCTATCTATCTTATCTATCTTATCTATCTATCTATCTATCTATCTTATCTTATCTATCTTATCCTATCTTAGCTATCTATCTATCTTATCTATCTATCTATCTATCTTAATCTATCTTATCTATCTATCTATCTATCTTATCTTATCTATCTATCTATCTTAATCTATCTATCTATCTATCTATCTAGCTATCTATCTATCTAGTCTATCTATCTTATCTATCTTATCTATCTATCTGATCTTATCTATCTATCTATCTATCTATCTATCTATCTATCTTATCTATCTTATCTATCTATCATGGATCTATCTTATCTATCTAGCTATCTTATCGATCTATCTTATCTATCTATCGTATCTATCTATCTATCTAGCTATCTTATCTATCTTATCTATCTTATCTATCTTATCTATCGTATCTATCTATCTTATCTATCTTATCTATCTAGTCTATCTATCTTAGTCTATCTCTCTATCTTATCTATCTATCTATCTATCTATCTTATCTATCTATCTATCTTATCTATCTATCTTATCTATCTATCTATCTATCTATCTTATCGAATCTATCTATCTATCTTATCTATCTTATCTAGCTATCTATCTAATCTTATCTATCGTATATATCGTATCGATCTTATCTATCTATCTATCTTATCTATCTATCTTATCTATCTATCTATCTATCTATCTTATCTATCTATCTTATCTATCTTATCTATCTATCTATCTTATCTATCTATCTATATCTATCTTATCTATCTATCGAGCTTATCTATCTTATCTATCTTATCTAGCTATGCTTATCGATGCTATCTAGCTTATCGAATCTTATCGTATCTATCTAGCTTATCTATCTATCTATCTATCTATCTATCTATCTATCTATCTATCTTAGCTATCTATCTATCTTATCTATCTTATCGATCTATCTATCTTATCTATCTATCTTATCTATCTATCTAGCTATCTATCTTATCTATCTTATCGA